GAAAACAATATTCTTTAAAAAAATCATCATCATCTTAAAGTTACAATAAGCTGTTTTAAATCTCCAAATGTAAGATGCATTTTTAATGCATTTATGGAGTTGTTACAATGTCATTTTTGGCAGCATTTAGCCAATGGAAAAAGTCAATTTTTAATTTGAATTTAATTCAATTTAAATTGAATTTGTACATTTAAACTTCATTTAGAATTTATTTATTTGTTTGTTTGTTTCCACCAAAAAAAAAGACTTAAAAAAAAAAACTAATATTAACATTTTTCATACACTTGTAGAGGAATAGGTCACCCCAAAAAGAAAATTTGCTTGAAATTTACTCACCCTCAGGTCATCCAATTTATCCTGTAAATAAGTTTGTTTCTTCATCTGAACAGATTTGGGAAAAGTTAGCTGAGTGTTTATATGAAACAAATCCATCACAAAAGCTACAATATGTAACTTTTTGGTTAAAACTAGACAAAAATCGTGTATTGAGCAAGTACATAATACATCAGTGCTCAAAAACATTCTAACCTTACCCTGATTTGCAATGATAAGCTTATAATAATGATTTATAATTTGATGTGATGGGTTCGATTTCATGGGAAACTGATGTAATTTGTCAGTGTGATGTTGTTCATCTTTGTGTGGTTATATCACATCTGTAAACAGAAGATGCTATATGGCATGTGTGTGTAGAGCGTTTGTAGCTTGTTCTTAGGACAAGTTGCTTAGAACTTAAACTTGTCAAAAAAAAAACTTGCAGTCAAAAAAAAATAAAAATAAAAACACAGAAGCCTGCACTAAAAGTAAATATTGACATGGCTTTTGAGAAGTGGCATCAACTCAGAGATCTGAAGGAATTAAAGAATAACACAGAGATGGCTTTCTTTTTCCTGCTGAACAAGCAAGACATTTCAGTAGTGCAATGGGTGGCTAGCTATCATTAGAGCACTTGTTTGCTTGATTCAAATTGGTATCAAGATTCCTTTGTTGTTGTTTTCTTCTTATTTTGCTATGGTCAGTGAAGTAAATTGCACTTCTGGTAGATATTCTACTGTGTGATTTGAGCTGTCTGAACAATTGTTAAACACCAGTAGCGTGATTTATTTTAAAATATTTATGTTATTATTCGGTCAGAACAAAAGCAGCAGATATTTGTTCAGATGGTATTTTTTGGATATATGCCTAGTAGGACATACAGTATGTGGATGTACAATGACAGATCCGCTCTGTTGTGGTGATCAGAGATTCATATGCAGATCCGAAGCACAACCCAGGGAAAAACAACAACAACAACAACAACAAAAAGAAAACAATAAAACAAAACAGAGGTGGCAGTAGAGAGGCAAAAGTTACGTACTGCATCTTTAAAGCATTTTAATCTCAAACTGTCTAGTGCATAATTCATAATATCGCTTCTTCTAATGAAAAAGTCCATTCTCTTTTGTCCCCTTGAATCAAAATACACCAACATATTTGTTTAGAACAGTTTTGGACTTTTTTTTGCTTGTAAACGCTACTTGATCTGTGCATATTTCTCTGCATTCCTCATATTTTCACTGGAGAAAGCAAAATTATGGATATTATAGCCGGAAGCAATGGTTTGAAGTTGAAAAAGTCTTAATGATGGATTTGTGTATTACAAACGTGCAGCTTTTCGCTTCAGAAGATGAACAGAAGAGGAGTCATTTTGTGAATTACTGTAATGTTTTTATCAGCTGTTTGGACTCTCATTCTGATGGCACCCATTCACTGCAGAGGAGCCCTTGGTGAGCAAGTGATGGAATGCAAAAATTCTCCAATTCCCCAAAAAACAAACTCGTGTACATCTTGGATGGCCTGAGGGTGACTAAATTTGAGCAAATTGTCATTTTTTTGTGTGAACTATTCCTTCATATCTGAATGGATAGTTCTCATTCAGAATATTGTTCATGCAAAATGCACCGAATTTAATGGCGATAGTTCAAATTCCTGGCTTCCTAGACTAAGGGTGTATTTACACCAGGAAAGTCCGGCACCTCTGAGTGGAGCACATTGGGTTATGCCCTTGTCAGATGACAGACAGTGATAGCTGTATAATGAGAAGAAAACTGGAATTGCAGATTTACAATATGCCAAACACCAAGATTCGCTTGTCGACTGTGCATTTCTGAACTCCATGTTTGGGCCAGATTCACGAAACATAAAAATAAAAATCTTCTTCATGCTATCTTCCTATTGTCTAACTTAAGAAAATAATAATAATAATAATAAACGTAATGTCATTATCGGTTTCTTTAGACAAAACCTGAAAACAATATTCTTTAAAAAAATCATTATCATCTTAAAGTTACAATAAGCTGTTTTAAATCTCCAAATGTAAGATGCATTTTTAATGCATTTATGGAGTTGTTACAATGTCATTTTTGGCAGCATTTAGCCAATGGAAAAAGTCAATTTTTAATTTGAATTTAATTCAATTTAAATTGAATTTGTACATTTAAACTTCATTTAGAATTTATTTATTTGTTTGTTTGTTTCCACCAAATATAGAGACTTAAAAAAAAAAACTAATATTAACATTTTTCATACACTTGTAGAGGAATAGGTCACCCCAAAAAGAAAATTTGCTTGAAATTTACTCACCCTCAGGTCATCCAATTTATCCTGTAAATAAGTTTGTTTCTTCATCTGAACAGATTTGGGAAAAGTTAGCTGAGTGTTTATATGAAACAAATCCATCACAAAAGCTACAATATGTAACTTTTTGGTTAAAACTAGACAAAAATCGTGTATTGAGCAAGTACATAATACATCAGTGCTCAAAAACATTCTAACCTTACCCTGATTTGCAATGATAAGCTTATAATAATGATTTATAATTTGATGTGATGGGTTCGATTTCATGGGAAACTGATGTAATTTGTCAGTGTGATGTTGTTCATCTTTGTGTGGTTATATCACATCTGTAAACAGAAGATGCTATATGGCATGTGTGTGTAGAGCGTTTGTAGCTTGTTCTTAGGACAAGTTGCTTAGAACTTAAACTTGTCAAAAAAAAAACTTGCAGTCAAAAAAAAATAAAAATAAAAACACAGAAGCCTGCACTAAAAGTAAATATTGACATGGCTTTTGAGAAGTGGCATCAACTCAGAGATCTGAAGGAATTAAAGAATAACACAGAGATGGCTTTCTTTTTCCTGCTGAACAAGCAAGACATTTCAGTAGTGCAATGGGTGGCTAGCTATCATTAGAGCACTTGTTTGCTTGATTCAAATTGGTATCAAGATTCCTTTGTTGTTGTTTTCTTCTTATTTTGCTATGGTCAGTGAGGTAAATTGCACTTCTGGTAGATATTCTACTGTGTGATTTGAGCTGTCTGAACAATTGTTAAACACCAGTAGCGTGATTTATTTTAAAATATTTATGTTATTATTCGGTCAGAACAAAAGCAGCAGATATTTGTTCAGATGGTATTTTTTGGATATATGCCTAGTAGGACATACAGTATGTGGATGTACAATGACAGATCCGCTCTGTTGTGGTGATCAGAGATTCATATGCAGATCCGAAGCACAACCCAGGGAAAAACAACAACAACAACAACAACAAAAAGAAAACAATAAAACAAAACAGAGGTGGCAGTAGAGAGGCAAAAGTTACGTACTGCATCTTTAAAGCATTTTAATCTCAAACTGTCTAGTGCATAATTCATAATATCGCTTCTTCTAATGAAAAAGTCCATTCTCTTTTGTCCCCTTGAATCAAAATACACCAACATATTTGTTTAGAACAGTTTTGGACTTTTTTTTGCTTGTAAACGCTACTTGATCTGTGCATATTTCTCTGCATTCCTCATATTTTCACTGGAGAAAGCAAAATTATGGATATTATAGCCGGAAGCAATGGTTTGAAGTTGAAAAAGTCTTAATGATGGATTTGTGTATTACAAACGTGCAGCTTTTCGCTTCAGAAGATGAACAGAAGAGGAGTCATTTTGTGAATTACTGTAATGTTTTTATCAGCTGTTTGGACTCTCATTCTGATGGCACCCATTCACTGCAGAGGAGCCCTTGGTGAGCAAGTGATGGAATGCAAAAATTCTCCAATTCCCCAAAAAACAAACTCGTGTACATCTTGGATGGCCTGAGGGTGACTAAATTTGAGCAAATTGTCATTTTTTTGTGTGAACTATTCCTTCATATCTGAATGGATAGTTCTCATTCAGAATATTGTTCATGCAAAATGCACCGAATTTAATGGCGATAGTTCAAATTCCTGGCTTCCTAGACTAAGGGTGTATTTACACCAGGAAAGTCCGCTAGTTCACTTGCTTTGGTCCGGACCAAATACACTGAACAAAATTATAAACGCAACACTTTTGTTTTTGCCCCCATTTTTCATGAGCTGAACACAAAGATCTAAGACTTTTTCTATGTACACAAAAGGCCTATTTCTCTCAAATATTGTTCACAAATCTGTCTAAATCTGTGTTAGTGAGCACTTCACCTTTGCCGAGATAATCCATCCACCTCACAGGTGAGGCATATCAAGATGCTGATTAGACAGAATGATTATTGCACAGGTGTGCCTTAGGCTGACCACAATAAAAGGCCACTCTAAAATGTGCAGTTTTACTGTATTGGGGGGGTCCGAAAACCAGTCAGTATCTGATGTGACCCTCTTCAGCTGGGTCTCGGTACGGTTGTTTGGTGCGCACCTGAGTGCAATTACTATATTCACACCTGCCCAAAAGGGGGAAACGAACTTGAGTTCGATTCAATCGAACCAAACAAGACAGGTGTGAATACACCCTAATGTTCTTTGTCTAGTGACAGGGCAGACTGTCTTGAGACTGCCTTCTAAGAGCTGCCGGTAGTACAGAACAGCACAGAATTGTCATTACTCTCTACCGATGGAGGTTATTGAAATACTATAACTGTGAGCTATAGCCAGTAATTCCATTATATTATTATGACAATGCTACATCTGTAAAAGAAGCCATGAAAGACATGACCCAGGAGTATATTGGTTAAAATAGGATATATGCATGGTTTCGCAAAAGCGATTATTCATCTCTAAATAGAAAGAAAAAAAAAGTATTTTCAAAATACAAAGTTCATCCAAGCAGAATAGAGTATGTTGTGACTACATGAAGATTTCAGCTGCCAAGCCATGGTGAGAGCAATCTAGTGTGGCAGAATTCAGCAGCCCTGAAGCCTGACAAAAGAGCAGATGTGTGAAAAGCTGTCACATTGTGAGAAAGTCTGCAAGAGCCTGTTCATCTCTGAGTGGAGAAGTCAAGGAAAGCCAAAATATGTCGTACCTAATGACCTACCTCATACTGGGACTGGTGCTGGAGACATGGAAGAGCAGATGATGCTTATCAAAGTGGAAATAGCAGGGTTTTCTTCTCAGCTGCTGACGCAGAGTCTCCAGATTCTGGTTTGATTTCGCAACCTATTGACTGGCAGATAACGAACTACAAGACATGATTTTGTGTCTTTGAAGGGTTAGTTGAGCCTTTAATAAAGAATTATTGAAGTTTACTCACTCTAAGGGCGTTCCAAACTGGTATGACTGGCTTTCTTCTGTGGAACATAAAAGATGAAATTTTGGAAAAAAAAAAAAATCAAAGTTTGTGGTACATACAATGGAAGTCAGTTGGGACAAATGTTTTTTAGTACAGCGAATACAGCTGAGGTCAACATAACAGTGTCTGCCCACGTTTTGCAGTTGTTGTGGAAGCATTCATTTTCTCCACTGGGGCTTCACAAATAAGACTCTTTCAGTAAAGAGCTACTATACGCACTACTGTTTAAAATGTTGGGGTCATTATGATGACATTGACATTCAAAAATGCAGTCAAAACAATAATAATATTGTGATTTTTTTTTTTCTGCTTAGCAAAGCTTCATTTTAGCAGGAGTTACTCTAGTTTTCAGTGTGACACTATTCTTAAGAAATCATTCTAATATGCTGATTTGGTACTCAAGAAACATTTCTTATTATCACAGTTGAGAACGTTATAGTGTCTTATTTTCAGGGTTGTTTGATGAACTGAAAGTTTGAAGAATTGCATTTATACTTTATAATAACATTATAATATCTCCAAAAATCATTTTATACACAAAAGTATGAGTTTCTTAAAAAAAAAAATAGTGACCCCTAATGGTTGAAAACACTTGAAAGTATTTTAAATTAAAGTATTTCAAAGCAACAAAGGTAACAACACATTGGTACAAAAGTACCAAAACAACAACAACAACAAAAAAACTGTTTCTCTATGGACAACATGAATGGGGCTTTTACTTCTTCTCTGTTATCCATTAACTGACAACAGTCAAAATATCTTCTGCTCATGTATAAAGCTGCATTTATTTTACAGTTTATTATTTTTTTTATATACTATGCAGATCCTACACTGGACAAAACTGCTGTATTGTTGTTGTCAAGCTTCTAGAACCTATTTTAGGAGGGTCAGACTTTTTTTTTATTACCCCTAAAAATTGGCTACTGAAACAATATAAGTTCTGATGGTTTGGACCACTGCTGGGAAGAAAATTTAGAGACTGGACCTCTCGTAGCTTTAATTGAATCCTCACGTAATAGAGCAAATGATAAAATGCACCGACTCTTTTGAGACACAAAACAACATAAAAATCTGCTATTCTGTTGGAATTAAGCTCCCATAAGGCCATTTGGTTGAAAATGGGACTGAGAAATGTCTTTAGTCTACAAAAACAAAGTCATAAAGCCTTGCAGGCATGAGAAAATATGGTCAAAAGGAAACAACTCATGTGCTTTAGTGGTCAAAACGTAATTGTGTTTTTGTAAATGGTGCATGTTATCTTTCCCAAACCAGTATTAGTGTAAATTCTCTTCCTTTTAAAGTTTTAAATGAACGGACATGATGGACACATTCGGTGTGAAATATTTTCAAGGTTAAGGTAGAATTTTGCTTCAGTAGGACAGTTTATTTGCACAGCTGCAGACAAGCATATTCCTCAGTTAAAGATAAAATTAATATCCCACTTGCATATTTTAAAACTTCACTGGTACTTGCATCATCCTCTTTAAGCCCTTTTCCTAATTTTTGTGTTGTACATGCCACAACTAATGAGTCCCGGGAGAATCACGCCATTGATTTCCCCATCGTTTATACTTCCTTTTGAAGACCAAGGCCAGTTTTTTTTCGGTTCAGTATGATTTTGGTATAGCAGGGGGAAAAATAAACAAATTGCTTTCTTTTTTTAAAATTTAACAATGGTTTACTGAACAAATTGCTCTTTCTTTAAATAAGTTCAATTATAATTAAAATTTCCTTAGGGATAAAAATCTACTTCAGCTTCTCCTCTAAACTATAGGGAGACCTTTTAAATTACTATAAGGTTACAGCTAACAACAGAGCCCAAACTTAAATTGAATTTCTATGCATTTTTAAATATAATAATCAACACTCAAAAAAAAAAAAAAAAAAAAGAATGCAAACATGTCAATTGTTTT